AGGACAAGGACAAGGACAAGGACAAGGACAAGGACAAGGACAAGGACAAGGACAAGGACAAGGACAAGGACAAGGACAAGGACAAGGACAAGGACAAGTCCTCGTGCTTCCTCTTCTTCTTCCTCTGACAACAACCACCACCAGCAGGGACAAAAGCACTGGCAAGGACACAGACCATATCTTTGATTTCTGTCAAGGTATGCTGAACGCTTCTTGTAAGGCTTGTTGCTAAATACTAGTAGCAAGCAATTCCTGGTGCTTCATGGACATCTGGAACATGGATGTGAATTCTGTGTTGGTGCTGCTGATGCTGGAGCGGCTGGAGGCTCCTCTTCAGTATGTTCTCTTGAGGGGAGGGCAAGAAGTGCTCTGAGGAAGAATAGAAACAATTGATGTTTGCCAAGTCAATTGGGTTGTTGCCTGAGTTGCTTGAGTTGGAGCAGTGAGTTGAGCAAGCTGGTGCACCATCTGAGTTGCAGCCATCTGAGTTGGTGTAGGCTGAGTTGGTGTCTCATCACAAAGCTGAGTCAGTGTCTCACCAAGCTGAGTCATCTTTGACAGCGTTTCTTGAGTAAGTTGTGAAGGCTGTTGAAGAGGAGGAGGACTATCCATGTTCTCATTGTCATTGTTACCTAGCACTAAAGTGAAGTAATCCTCACTAATCTTGTATCCTTCTTCCAAATCAAATTCCTCTTCTCCATCTCCAATGGCGGCCTTGGCACCAATCAAATAGCATGAAAAAGAGCCAGCCGGTCAAAAAGACATATTTCCAATGGGCTATTCCTGTTAATAGAATTGATAAGCCCATAGATTTAGCATATTAATCACATATTAACAGGAATCAAAATTTCAACAGACAGACTGAGAGGAATGCTGGCGCTTTTTGGGAACCTGGAATTTTGAATAGTACACTTCAACATAAGGACTAAAAAGAGGCACATGTTGAGTCATTTGGACTCGTTCATGAGTTCCATCATAAATTTTATTGCTTTTGACAGTACCACTAATTTGACCCCACTTAAAAGTAACAAATTTTGTTATCATATAGCGTTGCTGGTAGAGATATTCCTGCCAAGTCATTTGTAGTACGTTGGCAATGCTCAACAATACACATGCATGTATATCAAATAATACCACAAGGACCCAGCTCCCCCATACAATTAGAAAGCTCTCTTGATTCTCTTTCTAAGCATGTGCTTAATGTTGTCATACATCTGTTGGGGACCAAGATATCTTAGCTGTTAGAATGAGTTTACCCTTAGTTAACTCTCTATGTGTATTTTGTACTGAGCTTCAATTTTGGGCCATCTAATTATGGTGTAATGGACTAGTACTTTGACTCAACACACAAGGGACACTTTGCACCTCAACAGACTAACTGCTCACTAAATCAGGCCACTAATTGTGTTAACTCATATTTTGACAAGATACCTCCTTGATACATTTGTTCTCTTTCTGGTTTATCAGAAGGAACTGTGCCGGAAGCATTTCTCCGTGCTATAACACAATGCATCAATCCCATTTCTTTCTCCTCAAATCAATCAAGAACAATACATCCTGTGGGGCAGACAACCCAGCTAAAAATGGAGGATACTGCAAAAACCAAGCAGCAAAATAAGAAAAAGGGTGAGCTGCAACAAGTCAAAACACCAGACTTTCTTGAAGAAGACCTCCAAAAGGATGTATATTGATATGTCAACAGCTCCCCAGAATCAGTTCCCCCACAATTCTCACCCAAAGCAAAGGGTAAAATGAAACATTAAAGAGGTAAAAACAAAGAAGGGGAGGCACCAAGCCAGGATCCTTGTTTACGAAGGACCCAAGGTCTGTGCTTACAAGCACTGGATGCCAAAGCACAAGCTTGCAATTGTAAAGGGCAACATGGAGATGAAGTGGCATCCAGCATCAAAGGCAAGGGAAGCAGCAAAGCTGATCAAGGGCATTGATCCAGGCCTTAGATGGAAGATCTAAATTATTTTGTTTGTTATTATACTTTTTCTAATGGTCCAACCACTGTGCTTAACTCCATACTATCTGCAGTTGGTAGAGTTAGTTTGCTGTTAACAGTGTTTGGGTCGTTGCTGCTTGGTGAAACAACAACATCACTGACACTAGTATGTCTGCCTCATCATTGTTATCATCACCATCCTTGATATCCAATAAGATTTTCATGTACCCAGAGTCATCTCTCAACTCCTCATTGCTTGGTGGAGGCTTCCAGTTACTCCTATCTTTCAGTTTTTTGTCATTCCTTACACTAGAATACTAGTAGTCACTCCTTCCAAGCCCAAACCATTCATAATTGTGATAGTTGCTGTGACAAAACTTTGTGGAGTCTCTTTTTTTCAAATGAGCATTCCTGCTGCAAAGTGGGACTCCACATAGCTTGCACAGGCTGTAAGTAGAAACACCACACATGTAACAAATGTTTCTGCTCCTTGAGTTTGTAGGTGTTGTTGCCAGGAAATACCTGTTTTACTCAGTCTGAGTGAATCAAAATCTTCTATTGGCCTGGTTCTCTGCAAAAGTCTGCAAATTGTGATTTCCAAGCAACCTACCATTCTTAAGGAAAGTCTTGGATGCTTTTCTTCTAGTTGCTCTTCCACTCCAATCCTTTGTTTTTCTTGTGTGTACTGCCTCAGTCTACAATCACAGTCATAGACCCGGTCAATGGGATTGTATCTCATCATCTGCACAGCAAGCCTCTGAGGAAACTCATGATAGCTCATCACATTGCTTACCTTCCACTCATCAACAAGGCTCCTGTCAGTACACTCTCTGTAGTAGATGTTGTATGCTGTGGCTATAGCCAATGTCTTCCCATGATTACTAATCACTGCATGGTAATATTTCCACAATTTATCGTATAGTGTTGGCGGAGTTATTCTGTCCAAACCAATTGCACATTAGGAATGCTCGATATACAAACAGTAATATAATTAAATACTCAATAACCCCATATAAACCCCTCTATCACTGAATTCCTCTTTTTACTGGGATTCAATGCATGTGCTAATCATTATTAAGCATCCATTGGGGACCAAGATAGAGCTGTTAGAGTGAGTTGACCACTTGTATTAGGGCTACAGCGTGTGTGAGCAAAACTATTTTGGTTGCATGACTGGTGGGATTCAAAATTTGAGTACCAGTACAAATACTGAGCAAGTGCATTTTTTAGTCAAAGTAGTCATTACATGCAAAAATAAGGGCCCAAAATGTACAACTGGTGCATACATTTGGTTGCCCACACTATACCATAACCAGTGTTGGCTTTGGAGATGTACACATCAATATGATAGTTTCCCATAAGTATAGACAAATCTCACAAGACTCATTCATTTCAATTTTCCATTGTTGCTTGTGAGTCCCCCTACCCATTTCCTTCTGGCAAGGAGAAAGAGATGAAGATGAAATAGAGTTAACTGATCCTAAATTGCATGCTCCAGTGCTTTGGAATGAACAATGCACTTGCCTGTATGCTTTGGTTCCTTTGTCAGGATCAGCTGGAACAATCTTCACCGTGGTGATAGGTTTTGCAAGAAGTGACCCTTTGCTCTCTGTTTCCCATTTGAATCCCTTGCAGCATTCTTCTCTGAAAATACTTTCCAGGAACTTTTGCAGCTAACCTATTCTTAGAAACAGTCCTCCCCATCATACCCAAGCCTTGCTCGTCACTAACCCAATCCAAGATAGAGTCAGAAAGGAAGAAATTGTCAGCTGTGATATGAGGAGTTGACTTCAGAGAATGTAATTAACAACAAAGTGTTGAACTTCAGCAGAACCAATGCATGAATGTCCATCATCACTAGATTCCCATCCGTATTGTCGTTGACAATAGTCTTGTAGATTTAGTAAAATTTGTAAGCCACATTGCTACCACTTGGGGATCCACCATAGGAGAATATTTCCGAATTGTTTTTGCATAGCTTCAAGTTCATTTAAATCTTGTGCCACCTGCTACAAGTCATGGTGTTTGCAATCTCCTTGTTGAATGACAGATTTTTTTAATCCCACCTAAACTTAACATTTTCACTGGCTCCTTCACAAGCACTATGCATTAAAAGGATGCCATTAGACTGAACTGCTTCAGGAAGTGTAACTGGTCTGATTTGGAGCCCTTCCCCTCCATCACTGGCGTCAGACATGTACACATAAGTATAGCTTCTTCTCAGGTTCAATTTGATACCTCTGAGCTTCCCATGAATCTGGAGCAATAAGGAGCAGCAACTGATAGAAAAAGAAAGGATCTCCATTTTCAATTATGTCTCTTTTGAGCCCATATTGCTGAAGTTTGAAGATATCCAATTTCCCCTTCCTCTCCTCCAGAAACATATTATCACTAGTAGCAAACTTCCTTGCAAACTGGTTGTTAGAATCTTCAAGAATACTGTCCCACCCAAGGAAATGAAACTTCTAGCCTTTTTCCTCCCTGATAGATTCCTTGCCAACACCAGCTAAGTGTTAAGGGATTTCCACAGGCTTGTTGTATTTCCCTGTTCCTGCTTTGAACTTGGGTCTGTAGTAACAAAGGTGCCATACACCTGGATTATCAACACCATTCCAGTCTTTAGGTTCTCCTTTCTCAACCTTTGGATCACATCTGATTCTAACTCAAAGGCTGCTTCAAAGGCTGCTGATTGGGACTCCACAAAGGCCCTTGGCATTTTGCTTCCCCGTTGTTGTGTTGTCCTTGGTGCAATTGCTGGTTGTCACATTGTCCTCAAGGAATGTATTGGTGAGTGGCATCAATAGTGGTGTTGCTAATACTACTTGCTGACAGTCTTGCTGACAGTGTTGCTGAGTGTTTGCTTAGCGTCTCCCCCATTGATGTCACTGATGCTGTCAATTTGTTGTTGTTGTTGTTGTTGTTGTTGTTGTTGTTGTTGTTGTTGTTGTTGTTGTTGTTGTTGTTGTTGTTGT